ATATGAGGGTAGAACTTTCCTTCACAAGAGGGCACTCTTGTACAGTGGATTATACCTTCTCATGAGCACTTGCTGTAATTAAGGTAAAAACCAAAAGAGATTTTGCTTGTTTTGTTTCATCTCACCTGTCTAAAATGAGGGATATATTACCTTAGCTGGGTATGAAACATAAGCTTACTTAAATGTGGGCAAGGTTAAGGGGTTACTATTTTGGTTAAATTTAATCTTCCACTATTAAATCATATCACAGATTTTGTGATCTTGAATGTTTTCAATTTATGCTGCTGTTTTTGACAAAATAAATTTTAGGGATTTATATTTGATTTAAGGCAAACTGCAGCTGAACTTAAAAAGGAAATTCCAGACCTGAAGAACAAGATCCAGAATGCAAACAGAGATTTAACAGTCCTGAAGAGTGAGATGGAAGAACAGGAATCATTCCTGCAGACAGCTTTGTCTGAGGAGGGCGGTGCCAAAGCATGTTTACAGGATATAACACTGATGGAAAGGTACCAGGTATGCTTTGGTTATTTTTTTTAATATATAAATTATAGTCACTTGCTAGAATTTAAATTTGTAGTTATTCAGTAATATGACATAACTTTAAGGTCTTTATTTTAAAATACTTTAAAAGACATTATAACACAGATGATCTTGGTACTAATAAAATTCACATCTTAAATAATGATTTTTTCTTTTAAGGACCACAGAGTACCTTGAGTTCTGATTCAATTCTGTGCTAGTAACTGGAAAAAATATATAATGCAGAACATGAGCAGAACCACAAGTACACCAAAGCGTTTCTCAGTCCTTACAGTTGTTACAGTTCAGTGTATTGTCAGCATCTCCCAGTGCTTCCATTCACGTGGCTCTGTGCACTCTGAATATATGAAAGAGAAATCCTACACTAACTGTTACTCTGGCATAGAAGACACTTTTGAACAGTCTTCACGCCACTGTCACAGGGACAAGCTGTTCGTGTAACTGTCCTGAGGGGGCTGGGGTGCCAAAAGCCCATCCATCCACAGAGACTGATTTCCTCCCCAGTTAGGAATTCCAGTTTCCAGCAGCCTGTGGCTGACACAACCCACCTGCTAATGATGTGACATTGCTCCAGAAGAGGAGGGGAATTTGAAAGTGCCTCAAGCTCTGAGCTTATTCTTATGTGCCAGAGATTAAAAAATACATTGTTGAACACTGTTACAACAGTAATAATATTTTTCCTTATACTTTCAGATTGATATTAGGGATGTTGAACGAAAAATTGCTCAGCAGGAGGCTAAACTGCTGGGAGTCAACTTGAGTAGGACTGTTCAACAAGTAAGCCAAGAAAAACAAGAGAAAAAACACTCGTGGGATACAGGTAGGCCTTACCAAACTGGTATTTAATTTTGATACTGGAAATAATGTTCCAAACTTCCTGCCATTAAAATTTTGGTTTACTTATTTTACATTCTGAAGTAACTGTATTCTCCTAGTTTGTTGTCACGAGTTTTTGGAGCCATGCTAGCTTGATTTAGAGTTAAATTTTCATAAGGAAGACAATAATGGTTTTAAGAACAGATTGACCATTTCACTCTGTCTTCATCTGCAGTTACTGGTAAAATTGAGTTAAAGCAGAAGCTCAAGCAGGACCAACAAAGTGAGATTCAGCAGCTGAAGAGCACAGTGAATGAGCTCAAAGCAGAGAGGCTGCAGATGGTGAGCAGCATGCAGCGCCGGCAGCAGCTGCAGGAGCAGACCGTGGAGCTCACCACCGAGGTTCAGTCCTTGGCCAGAGACATCAAGGTAAGAAATACTCATCATTATTTAACCCTTGGCTGTCTTGTCCTTGAAATAAAAAATAATAATCTTGGTAAATTTAACACTGTCTCTAATCCTGCCAGTGAGATGCATTTTGAAGTGTCTGTCCTGTGCTGCTGTTGTGTATTATCTTGGGCAATATCCAGAACTTTATTAATATGTTTGGGGTTTTTTAATGCACCCAAAAAAGAAACAGAATGTGAAAATTAAAAAGGACTTTTTCCAACTGCTTTTCAGGAAGCAAAAGAACAGGTATTTCCTTTGGATGCAACTTTAGAAAAACTGCAGCAGGAGAAGGAGGATCTAGTGAATAAAAGGACTGCAAGTAATAAAGAAACACAAGAGAAGGTTTGTTTGCTCTTGGCATTGCTGGGACACAGGATTAGATCCTGTTTTTCAGGCATGTATGAAAAGTGTGTTAAGGAGTTTGTTGGGCAGTAAGTTCAGCAGATGCGTTAGATTGGTGGAGCTTTTAGGGAAGAAAAGGAACATAAGTCAGTCAGGACATGAACTCAATTGTAATTAACCTTTGGCAGTCTTGACAAACGGTTTCTTGGGACATTTGGAAATATTTATTGGCCAATGGATTGAAAAGCCCTTCCTGGTAGACCTAAGAGGAACAGCAAGGATGGCCATCACCTGTCCTTGCCAAGAGACACACTTGCTTTCCCCAGGTGAAGGGGCTCTCTTGTGCAAGCACAAATGAGTCATTCACCATTTGTTTTGAGAGACATTTTCATGGTTGTAAGGAGTATCTGGATTTCAAAAGCTGAAGGCTTTATTAGCAAATAAAAGAGAGTTATGATAAGCGATTGTACTTTGGCAAGTGTTATCCAGTGTCTCATCTTTGATGCAGGCATATCTGTTCTTGGACTTAACACCACATTTCATTTGAGATCTTTTCCCTGCAGATAAATGGCATAAATGAGAAAGTTAAAGATATAAACAAGTACATGAAAGAAATTGAAAATTACATTCAACAAGGAAAAGAAGACTATAAAAAGGTAATCTAAAAACCAGACAATAAAAAGTTTGCATGGAGAGTACTTCTGTGCTTAAATCATATACCATTTTATTTCCTTAGCAAAAGGAGTCTGAACTTGCTGAAGTAAATTCTCATTTGGCTGCCTGTGAGAAACAGAAGGAAAAGATAAGTAAAGAGATGGAAATGACTCGACAAGATATTGACACTCAAAAGGTAGATGTATTGCTTAAAGTAGACTTTTCATGGTTGAAATAATTCCTGGTTTTGATTTAAATCTGCCTAGGTCTGTAGTCACGCAAAATTTGTTTCCTTCTAATTTATTTAATCAGCTGTTAGTCAAGAGAGCTGCTATACATGCATTAGGCTGGAAAAAATCTTGAGATTTGTGTATGCAAATTCAAAAAACATTTAATTATAATTTTATGGTATTTTCAAAAGGGTTAAGTCTGTTGGGATAGCAGCTAGCATTTTCAGGAGTATCTTTGTGTGGAGAGAATGTGTCTTTTTAGGTGAAATATCAAAAGTTGCCAGTTGCTGCAGGTTTTATCATGTACTTTAAATTCCTGTGTATATATTTCAAATACTGCTTATGTTCTCCATAGGAAATATGTCTTACCCATTCTACCCCTCCACTTACTGTCTAACTTGTAGAAGTGTGATAGGGGGCTTGGTTAAATCTCATCCTAAACTACTTACCCCCTTTGAAACACTGATTAATATGCACACACAGAATCACCTGTGTTCACCTGTAAAGGAAATACTCGAAGTATTGAAAGATGAAATAATACTGCTGATTTCCACTGTGCTCCATTTCTAGCACAAGATAAGTGCTGAGTGTGATAATTTTCGTTGTTGTCAATTATTTGATGCTTTAGAGTTGTGCAGAACTCATACATTGTAGTTGAGAAGCAATAGACTGAAGCACTGTGCACCTCCTTGCTTTCTGGGGGGCAGGTGCAGGAGAGGTGGCTGGAGGATAATCTTACTCTGAGGAACCGGAACGAGGAGCTAAAAAAAGTTGAAGACAAGATAAAACAACTTATGAAGGAGATGGGAGAAATGAAAGTCCCCCAAATGAAAAAGTAAGTACCTTGTGCATGCTCTGCAGGAGAATTCAGGCAATATCTGAGTGTTGTGCTCACTCTGTTTTAGTGTGTCCTGGTCCTCTTTTCTCCCCACTTCCTTCACACCTGTGTTTGCTTCACATCCCCATGACAACAACAGAAATGACTCAGTGAAATTAAATAGTGCTTCAGGCTAGAAACAGAAATATGTGCTGGTACCTGTTCCAAGCTAACCCTTTTTCATGATGTTCAGTGCTAAGTCCACATTTAAATGATTCATACTTCTGGAGAAGAATATTTAGTTTTCATTTTCAGTCTGCTCCCTTGGTCCCAGCAGCAAATTCTATGTTTATTTCAGTAGTTTAATAATAATTGCTCAGATAATAAACACTTTTGAAAAGTAATTATCCCTCTGCCGGTTCTTGCATGTGAAATATTTATTTATCTTACTGGAGCTTACCTAATAATTTTTCCTATTTTGCTCAGTATCCTAGTTAAATTCCACCTATGAAATGAATTATTTTTTATAATTCTATTAATAGCACTTCAGCATTTGAACTTGACAACTTCCTTCTCCCACTCAGAACAGTGATTTGAATATGTTCCTAACAAACTTTAAATGTTTTTATTTCAAGAATGTCTTTGTTTCAGTGGCACTAGTACTGTAATTTTAACTGTTACAGACTGTGAAGATACAATATAATGAGCTACTGTCTAGCGTGAATGAGAACCCTGATTAAAAAATTGTGTAACACTAAATACAAAAGACTTGTGTGTCAATTGTGGTTTCACAGTGAACAAAAGCATTTAGAGGAGAAAATAGAATCTCTGAAAAGGAACCACCACGTTGCCCTTGGGCGCCAGAGGGGCTTTGAGGAGGAGATCGTTCGGTTTCGAAAGGAGCTTCGAGAGCCACAGTTCAAAGATGCAGAGGACAAATACAGGGACATGATGATTGTTATGAGAACAACAGAGCTGGTGAACAAAGACCTGGACCTTTATTACAAGGCTCTTGATAAGTAAGTATTGTCACGTGAGGGTCATTCTGAAATGTTTCCACCTTTATCAGTAACCTTGATGCAAAAGCAGCTTTCAATTCCCGGCTTCCAGGATAGCCTGGAAATAGTAAATGATACAATTCTTTGAGATACATAACAACTTGTCTTTATAAATGTTGGCATTTAAATATTAAGATAACATAGCAAGGTACAACTTTTTAAGTAAATTAATGCAGATACACTAGAAACTGCACAGGATTGGTATGGTGTAGGATATCTGTAAGTTAATGTCTATAATGTACAAATAGTAAATACATTGATGATAATAATTGGATTTTAATACAGTCATACATAGATAAGTCTGATGATCGTTACAATTCCATTCCCAGTTCTCTGCAGGACTTGTTTGCATGGTTGTATGTGTTAGGGCTCATATTTGCAGTGCAGCAGTTGGAGAGAGATCAGGAAAGGTGAAATCCATGTTTAAATCCTTGATTATTGACCTGGGCCTTTCTACTTTCATTTCTATAGCAGTGTCTTTTAGCATCTTCTGGTCATATCTTCACATCGATAAGATATGCCAGGTAGATATTTTGTTTCCCATGATCATCTTCTGAGGTAAACTGTTGTGTTTTAATAAAGACTATTACAATATAGAGGTGTTTTTTTCCCCTTTTCCAGTGTGGGTGGTTTTGTGCTTATATCAAAGAAGGCAACATCACAAGAAACACGTCTGGCATTTGATGGAAAGTGTAGCAAACTTTGTGATTGTTTCTGTTTCCTCTGGAAGCTTATTTGCTAGTCTTGGACTGACTGGCCAAAAAGGGCATCTCCACATTTGTAACCATGTGCAAAGTAAAACATGTGGCTCCCTAAAAGCCCCTGTTTGCTCAGTTATAATGGTGAAATAGCATAATATGTATAATTCTTCCCTTTCAGCTGTAATGGAAATGCACTCCAAGAATTTCCTTTTTAGAATTAGACTCTTTTTGTATGCTGTCAAATCATCTATTGTTTCTATTTAAGGCTAAACAGGAAAACAGTCTTGTAATTTCAAGAAAAATAGATAAGCATCACTTATGGGTAATCATCTGAAAAATCGGTGAGCTGAAATGCCTCCAGTGGCCAGAGCTGAGGATGGGGCTGGGAAAGCCAGCACTGTGGGTGTTCTGTGCTATCAGCTGATCTTTATTGACTCAATATTTAGAGGTTGTGATAAATATTGATGAGGAATGCATTCTTGGGGTTCATTTAGTAAATTGTTGAAAACACTTCATTTTTAACTTAACAAATTCCTATTAGACTTGATACCTCAGTATTCCCCAGAACAGGTGGAAGAGCAGAAGTGGGAAAAGTATATGTAAAAGTGCATTTCAGAAGGATTATTTTATTTCTGCCATGTTTTTTGTGCTATGTTCACTTGCCATAAAGTGAGCAAGCATTTTTTTTATTACAGAGTAGTTTTTTTTAAAAAAAAAACAAGTCAGAAATGCAGTGTCCTGTCCTTTCCTGAATGCTTTGTAGGATTTCATCTGTTTATAATCTAAAATCATGCTGATATATTCACCAGGGAAATTAAATTCAAAATTATTAATGACATTCTGTGTTACTCTTGCTGCTGAAGAGAAGGGCAGTTCTAGTCATAATGCCTGTTTGGGTAATTATAAAGTGACATTCTTGATAAAAATCCTCTGCTCTGGGAAGACTTCAGGTTGTCCTTTCCTCTTGCTGTTGGCACTGAAGAGTAACACTGTTGTTCTGGAGGGCTTACCTTCAGATTCATCCTCTTGGTGTCCATCTGAAAATAAACCTCACACAGAAATTACAGTTCTTGTCAAAAGTCACGTAAAGTCTCTCCATGCAATGAGTGGAGATAACTTTGTCTGCATTACTTTCCTACTTCTTTAGACTGAGCTGTTTCTGACAGTAGAATTATTTACACAACAGTGTGTGTTAGTCTTCAGATCCTTCTGCATTCAAAATGAACTAGTATTTACTCAATTTTTAGTAGAAGTGTTTATCCAAAGCAGTCCATCGTTTCATCTCTAACATTTTGTGGTTTTTGTTGCTGTTCTTTAGAGCAATAATGACATTCCATAGCATGAAGATGGAAGAAATCAACAAAATAATTCGTGACCTTTGGCGAAAAATTTACAGAGGACAAGGTTTGTAATATTTTTTATTAGTTTATCCCGTGTGTATCCATTTGATATTGAGCACTGCATATGGAGCAGTGTTCACACGATGAAAAACCTGGGATCTGAAATGTAGCTGGTTTTATGGTGTTCTTCACCACTGTAATTTTGTTATTACACATTATATAGTAAGTCGCAGGATAAATAGAATTAATTTTCCCTTTTCTGTGTTTTCCAAAGGTAAGGTTTCCTTGAGGCAGAGGAAATGCAGGAGTTCATTCTTTCCATTTTGGAAAAATTATTTTCAAAGATGTATCTATTAGTGGGAGCTCTGAAGCGAATTTTTGTTGTTGTTCCTGGATATTATACCTCATCTCCCGTTAATCCTGTGTTATTTTGAAAGATTTTTGATAAAATCTGTCTCCTTCCCATTTTCAGATATCGAATACATAGAAATCCGTTCTGACGCCGACGAGAACGTCTCGGCCGCTGATAAGAGACGAAACTACAATTACAGGGTGGTGATGGTGAAGGGAGATTCGGCCCTGGACATGCGAGGGAGGTGCAGTGCTGGGCAGAAGGTGAGGGCTGGCTGTGCTCAGTACCAGGGGCTCTGGGAGCACACCCAGGGCATGCAGAGGAGTCCCCTGTTCAGAAGTGACCGAAGCCCAGGCGGCTCCAGCTCCCTCCTGTCTGGGTTATGTCAATCTGTTACTCTGCAGTTTATGATTCTGAACATCTGAACCCTCTGTGGTTTCAGTTGGGCACCAGGCTGGTTCCCTGCAGGGGTGAAGGCTTTGACTTCCCTCTCTCCTTGAGTTCAACTCCTCCCAGTCTGAGGTTACCACGGCTTTAGGTCAATCGATTTTTCCCAGGTCTTTTATCTTCCTGAGCCTTTGGTCTTCTTTTTGCATCTGCCTCTTAAGTTGACAGGACCTCTTTCCCTCCACATTTTGTTTCTCTCCTATTGCTGACTGTAACCTTTCAGTTCATGTCACCAAGATCACACCAAGCCATCCTTCCAGGTATTGCCTTTCCTTCTGCGCTGTCAGCTCGCAGCTCTGCTCTGCCCATTCCTGTGTCTCGGTGCTTTGGCACCACCCTGATGTCAGCAGCCATGCAGTGCTGTGGTCAGCTCATCACAGCCACACCCACACACGCTGGGGCTGCAGGGTCGTTTCACCTGCCTGTTGCACTCTGCTGTCTCCCTGAGCAGTTTAGGATGTTGCGTTGCAGTCCCATGTAAATGAGAGTGAAACTTGAACACGTTTCTGAGCCGATATTCTGAGAATTCTTTGATCATGAACTGTGGTGCCAGCAGTCGTGATAGCTGGAAAATATTTTTGGCAGCACAGTTTCCATCGAGTGGTCTATAATTCGCACTAGTTCAGAAGATCTTATAGGTATGATTAGGTATGTTGATGCAAAACGAACATGTAAGGGGGCAAACCCTACTGTCTTCAGTTTTAGTAAGTATCAGGAGTTCAGTCACTCAAACTTAGTGATGCAGACAAATTTCCACCCTCCCCGTGCAGTAGGATGGGCTTGCACAGAGAGTGGAGGTAATGCAGGTAGCTTCCTTTCCTCAGATTAGAATCCTCACTTCCAATAGCTCCTGAATTTTGAGTACTTGACTTCTTTGTAGAGTCCATCTTTCAGTTCAAACTTGGAAGCTTTAATGTAGTTTTTCAGTAATTAATCAGCTGTTGTCGTTTTGTGAACTATAGGCACGTTGTTCCGTAAGCTGCACTCACAGGTCGTAATGGAATTAAAAATAGTTCCTTACACGTAGAACCTCTTTAAGCACTTTGAGGAGTGAGATTTTTGTGTTGGTTTTTATTTCTTTCCATTAGGTGCTCGCTTCTCTCATCATTCGCCTTGCTCTGGCAGAAACGTTCTGTCTCAACTGTGCCATCCTGGCACTGGACGAGCCTACGACCAACCTGGACAGAGAGAACATCGAGTCTCTGGCACACGCCCTCGTGGAGTAAGTGAGCTCTGCTTCTGACACTTCAGGATGGCATCTGCAATTACACGTGCAGAGCAGTAGCCTTAAATTCTCTCTATCTGGAAAAGATATTTCTTAAATAATTATAGAGGGGATTTTTTAATGTGGGTAAAAAGAGCGGCTCATCAGCATTGGGTTGGTCGATGGTTCGTGTCATTCGTTATGGGCAGCTGAATTTTTGTGCTCTGTGTTTGCAAGTTCCCTGAGAGGAGCACATAATTTGGGTAAATGCACACTGGGCAATATCTCTTTGCAGGATAATAAAAAGCCGCTCCCAACAGCGTAACTTCCAGCTCCTGGTGATAACTCACGATGAGGATTTTGTGGAACTTCTGGGCCGCTCTAAATACGTGGAAACCTTCTTCAGGATCAGGAAGAACTCTGGCCAGTGCTCTGAGATCATGAAATGCACTGTCAGCTCCCTGGGCTCATATGTTCATTAGAACGTCCAGTGACTGCCCCTTACAGACCTGATACATCCCACGCTGCCTGCCTTGGCACAGCTCAGGTGAAGGTGGCTGGAAATGCAGGTCCTTTGTGTCGTATTCTGTTGAGGATTTGTCACTATTTTAGCCAGAGTCCAAAACTGTAAGACTTTTAAACTTTATCGCTCTCTACATATTTCTGTGCCTGGGCTTAGGGATTGCCATGATTTGAAAGATTTCGAATGAATACCAGGCAGTTTCATTTAGGTGTATTCTGTGCTTTAAAGGGGAAAATAAAGTTGTGAGTTCTTTGTGTATGTCCTGTTGGAAAGATCCGCTGCAGATTCTCTGCAATGCCCTTCAACTAAGGATTATTTCCACCTCAGTCTTCTGAAAGCCACCAGGTCAGCGTGGCCCCAGCCATGGGAAACCACTCAAAGATAAGTGAATGAACGGGACTTCCTAGCAATTACGTTTTCACCAATTCCCAAAAAAAAGCAATGAACACACAGCTGGGAAGTGGGGAGAGCAGGCAAAGGAAAATGCTACTAACAGGCATCACATTGCAGTTTTAAACAAGAAGCTTCACTGACTCTAGTACTACTTCCTGAAGGGAAATTTTCTTAAAGATACAATCAACTCACACACAAAAAAACCCCAACTTTGAAATTTCAAGTTTTCCTGTGCAACCTGTTTATTTTAGCATGACATGTACACCCCAGCTCTGCACTGTCTTGAGAAGCAACTCCCCAACCTCTGTGTATTCTGTACTGCTCTTTCCCCCGAGCTAAAACCGTGACTGGCAGTTTCTCTAGGAAGTACTTGGGGCACATTTTTGCCTAAACCAGCCTTTCTGTGCTCCCCAGCTGCAAAGTTTATCCTCACACACACATTAAACATTTCGCCAAATCTTGGAAAACCAACCTCTTGGTGGGAAACCCACCTCTCCCATATAGAGTCCAGTAAAATGATAAAAACCAATCCCCTTAATGATTTGTACAGTGTAGGTAGCTAACAGCAAAGAAAAGAGACTCCACCAGCCCCAGGGTTTTCACATGGACTGGAAAACAACAAAAAAGTGCTTGTGTGAATCAAGTGTAGGAGAAACTTGAACCACTTGTCGTGATCTGCTCGTGGGGACAGAGAGGGCCTGGCTGTGCTGAGGGGCCTGGGCCACCCCAGGGGACCCTGCCCTGGCACACGGGGGGTGAGGGCAGCAAGAGGAGCAGGGTATCCCAGCACAGGGGTTGCTGCCCCTACAAGGTGCCACACAAAGTACAGAACCAAGCAGAGACATCTTAAGCAAGGTACAGACTGACTGTGGTGACTCACTGGGCAGGTGATTAAGTGGTGAAGAAAAGGACTGTCCACTTACCATGTTGGCTGGAGTGGGGTTGGGTTTCCAGCAGAGATCCCAGCATGGGATGCTCTGCACAGCAATCCATGCACACAGCTCCACAGGAACAGGCACACACCCAGAGACACTGTGATTGAGCCAGAAATAACAACTGCAAAAATAACAATAGTGAGCGGAATTGCCCTTGGATCAGGAGTTGAGAATCAGGCATTGCCTGGGATGGCATCTGCAAAGCAGGCAGGCACCCAGCACCTCCGAGAGCACCAAACGCTTCCCATGGCCCTAACCTTGCCCTGGAAGGGCTGGGTGGGTGTAAATCCCTTCCAGGGGATTTGGATCTGGCTGCAGCCTCAGCCCTGGAAATGCTTTTGGAGCTGGGATGTGCAGGAGATGGAGGGCTCTGGCATCCACCGCTCGTGCAAGAGACCTTTCCCTCTCTGTGCCCCAGCATCCATTGCTCCAGTGCCATGGCTTATCTTCAGTTCATCTGCCAACAACTTTCACTAGGAAATAAACCAGAGGCCTCCAAGACATCCCTGTCTGAACACCTTGTTTCTAAGTGGAATTTCGTATTTGCAATAGAAATCCAATAGTTTGATTTTCTGATGCTTCCTTCAGTGTTATTCTGCAGTGCAGCTCTGCTTGAGGCTGCTGCAACACCTGCCCTGGAGGACATGGAGTTTAAGAACTTCCAAGAAGACTTTTTAATCAAAGGAGAATTTTTAATTTCTTAAATTTTTTTTGAAGTGGTTTTAAACTAAAACTGCTCTCTGATCTCCCTGAAGTAAAAAACTGACTTACAGAACATGTAACTCACTTCTCCCCACAGTTTCCTCCTACATGGCATGTTTTAGGCCAAAAGCTTTTGCATGCCCTAAAAATTACATTAGGAAGCCCAAACAGATATGATTATCTACAAATAAACACCACAAACCAAACCAATAAATTCAGATGATGCTTCCAAAAGCTTAATCATTTGCTGTCTCCCTGAAACCTTGCATTTAAATGTCACACAAGTATCATCTCATCTATTTCAGTATGACAGGGTTTGCTGCCCCCCGGGCGAGCTGCCAGGAGCCAGCGCTCACTGCACCCGCTGCACCTTCCCCACCTTTGGGAAATGGGATGCAATCTGCAAATTCCCCCTCACCCGGCTCCGTCCCACCTGTGTGATGTGATTTATGCAGGAGAAGTGAATTGCTGGCATGTGCCTTTGCCTCCAGCTGCAGCGGCTGAAGGAGGTGGGATGGCTCCAGCACAGGGAGCATCCACTGTTTGTAAACCCAGCCACTGATGCAAGAGATACTGCATGTGCTGATGCTACACATTACACCCTGACCCACATTTGGGCTTTTTTTTCATGTTGTAAAATGTCTTATTTAGTGTCTCTGCCCCCTTCTGAAAGTAAGGAACAGCACACATGGCCTGGAAAACATGTGGTGGCTTCTCCATGGGCATTTGGTAAAAGGGGCAGCTGGAATAGTGCTGGAAGTGAGAAAATGGTTAGAAGGGTCATCTAAAATCAGGCCCTCAAGAACAACTGAAGTTGTTCTTCACCTCAAATTGAGGTGTTCTTCACACTTCAGTTAAAGCATCCCCTGAACCTCTTGATTCTGACGTTTCTTAATGTAGCAATCCCGTCCTGTCCCCCCACAAACCCCCTGCCCCAGGGATGAATTTGGCTGCCAGAGCAGGTGGGGAGGTGACTCAGTTGCCTCCCTTTGCTCAAACTGCCAGGGAGGGGCAGCTGAGCACGAGGAGACTGCGAGGAAGGAAAGGCAGCAGGAGAAGCAGATGCCTTCCCTGCCAGCAGTGCCAGCTCCTCTCCCATCCTGAGCCAGGGGTGGCCAAGCCAGGTGGGAACTGCCCTGGAGATGGCCCAGCCCCCAGATGAAGAGACTGCCTGTGGGGAGGCACAAATTCAGCCCAGCCAAAGCTATGGACTGGCATTGCCCTATTTCCTACAGAGCCAGGAAGAGAAGGGGAGGCTGCCACAGAGAGCTGCAGCCCCTTCAATCTGCCAGCAATTGCTCATACCTGTTCCTTTCCACTGATGTCCATCAATTCCATCCATGTCCATCCAGGCCATCCCATGCTGGTGGTGGTCATGGCTCCAGCCAACCCCACTGCTCTCCATTTGGGTGTGATGGTTGTGGCATCCAACTCTGGCTTGGCTGCTGGGGGAAAAAAACAAGAAAAAACCTGCTGCAGCAGTTGGGCTGGGGGAAAAACCCCCCAAAAAACTGCTGCAGCAGTTGGGCTGGGGGAAAAAACCCCCAAAAAACTGCTGCAGCAGTTGGGCTCAGGGCACACCAGCTGTGGGACAGGCAGACACACACACTGTGCTGAGCTGCCCCAGACACACCAGCCCCTCCACCCCCTCCTGATGCCATGGCAATCCTCCAGGCTCCTGCCTGGCTCTGACCCAGCCTTTTGAATTCAGTGACTGGGAACCAATTTTTCCAGGCTAACACAAGCCATGTACAGTGAGTGCTGCAGTCCTGTCACTGTAACTTAGGTCAGTGGTCATCCCACACAGAAAGAGTGCAGAGAAATAGGAAAGGTTTGTTTGAAATGTGAAGTTCAGGCTTCCTCAGGCTCTGTGACACATTGACTTTACTGAAAATTTGGAAAAAAATGTTAATTTATAAAATGTATAAACATTTAAGTTTAAATTCAACAATTTACACTATTTATAAGCCCCTAAGCAGGTACCAGGTGAAGTCAGACTCCCCTGCATGGGGTTGGCAGGACCATGGGGAGCTGGTGACAGCAGAGCCACGAGGTGCTGCCTCACCTGCGTGTGCAGGGGCACATGGCAAAGGACAACTGGACAATGACAGGTTTGTGTCTGTTCTTCTGCCCAAGAACGTGGTGGTTTGAATTCCTGAGCTACTGTTGGTTTTCTGATGTCCCCTGGGGTGGTGGGATGGCATGGGGGGGGGGACCCCGAGCTGGGCACTGCAGGAGCTGTCCTCACACCATGGAATTTGTGCTACAGAGCCGAGGAAGTCCTGGTTAAAACCAAACACCCACATGCCAGAAAACCCCCCCAGCTACTTCTTCCTTTACATGCAAGAGCTTTTTTTTTTTTGTCTCTGCAGATGTTTAACATCTTGATAAAAGTTTTGAGGTTTTCTTTTCTTTCCAAGCTTTGGCTGTGTGAGCTTGCTGGGGTTGCTGCCCTGGTGGCCAAAGGACATGAATTGTTCTGACAAACAGTTCAGCTCTTCCTCTCCAAGAGCAGCCATGTGCCAGCTCTGGGAAGAAGGGGCCTTGCAGGAGGAGAGATCCCGGTACCTGCTGTCACATCAACTCCCTTGAGACACCAACAGCCAGGGCAGGAGCCTGGCAGGCATCCAGCCATGCACATCCCAGAGCCAGCTCTCAGCATGACACTTTGTCTGGGTCATGGTGGAGACCAGGAAAGCACCCCTGGGAATTTCTCTGCACAGATCACGCCTTGACTTTCCTCAAAGCTTGCGATGTGCTGGTCCCGTCCTGCACACGTTCATGGTTTCCCACAAGCAGCAGGGCACAACCATGCTCGATAGTAAATAGATCCTCAGACATCAAAGAGAAATTCTTGACTTCTCATCCCAGTATCTCCTCATCCGTCAGCGAGGTGATTAAAATCTGCATGTAGCTGAATAACAGATAATGTTATTCAACGGATAGAAAAGTGTCCCATCATTACGTAATGTCCCTCTTTGGGGTGTCACTTTCCACTGCCAGCAGCACAGGAAGACACCTATATTTGGCAGTCAATGGAGACACGGGTCCCTCTGCACGCTATAAAAATGGGTCTGTGCCGAGCAGCAGGCAGAGGCCGTGGCCAGGCAGCCCAGGCAGGGTGACAGGATGCTCCCCTCGCTGAAGGCCGTTGTCGCTCTCCTGTCCCTGCTCCAGCTCATCTCCTCCACCTCTGTGACTCACCTGCGCAAGCAGATGCTGCTGGAGATCACCCGCCAAGTCCGACACCTCAACTCAGGAGTGCAGGTAAATGTGCTGCCCTGCTGGCCTGGCTTTGCTCCCCGACCACGGCAGCTCCCGATGGTGGCGATGGTGGTGGTGGTGGTGATGATGGTGATGATGGCGATGGTGGTGATGATGGTGATGATGGTGACAGTGGTGATGATGGCCCTCCACACTCCGTGTGTCCAAGGCCAGGCACCGGCACTGCCTCCTGCCTGGGCCTGCAGGAGCCCTTCCCATTCCCTCAGCCCGCTCCATCCCTCCAGCCTGGGGGCCCTGGCCCATCTCAGCCGAGACTTTGTGTGATCAGCACTTGACTTGGTGGCACAAGCAGCTGCTGGGGGCAGCTCAGGTGAAGTTTTCCACCTGACATTTGGCACATTGCAGGAAAAAACGCTGAGGAACAAGAAAACTGCTGTGGCAGGGTGACTGAGGCAGCTTGGGACGAGGGCATGGGGGCCTGGGGCAGTGTGAGCTGCCAGGAAGTCCCTGCTCTGCTCCCACTGAGCACCCAGGGACCATCCAGCTGCTTGCAAGTGCTGTGCAAATGCAGGTCCTGTGCCCAGGAGCCTGTTTGGAAACAATTTGCTGGAAAACGGATCTCAGTGGTGGCACCACCAAGGGTCTGGAGAGGGATGGAGACACGGTACCCTTCCTGGTGGAGGGCACAGCTGGTGACTCCTCGGGGATGGTCTCATGATGATGGTCTTGTAATGATGATTCTCTTGTGTCACCTCTCCAGGTCCCCTGCAATGACACCCGAGTGGCACAGGTCCCCTTCACCAACAGACAGGTGAGATGGAGAGACAGGCAGCAAATGCAGCTGTGATGAACCCAGACACAGCCAGTGCCCTTCCCCCCGCCCAGGGCACAGCCCCTGCAGCTGGGGCAGCATTGTTAGTCCCCCAAGAGCTGCTCAGGGGCTGGGCCTCCCCCCCACAGCCCTGCCCCAGCCTGGGGCACAGCCCGGGCCCGGCTCACCCTCGCCCTCCGTGTCCCGCAGCTGTCGGAGCAGGAGCTGCTGTGCCAGGCTGCCAAGGCGCTCTCCAAGGTCACCCGCTGCAAGGACTACGAGCCACTGGTCACCAACCTGCGGAGGCTGCAGGGCAGGACGGTAAGGAGGGGCTGCAGCACCCGGGGCCTGCTCTGGGGGGTACCAGGGGCTGCAGGATAATCTGCCTCCACGGGGGGAGGGTGACAGTCCCCACCAGCCCTGGGCACCCAGAGCTGTGGCCGTGGGGGTCACACAGCAGGGCCCATGTTCTGAGCAAAGGACAAACTCCCAACCTCCGGGGCAGCGTCCTCACCGCTCTGAGTTATTTCTGTGGCGATGGAGGCAAACAAACCACCTGTCTGGGCTGGGAGCCTGGCTACCCACCGTCCCTGCTGCTAAATCCTGCTGCCAGCTCTAATGTATTTACACTTTTCCTTCCCCAGACCTGCCTGCTGAGCAATGAAACCGAGATCTACCTGCGCCACTTCTTGCCGGCGCTGGGGAACTTCACGCAGGGGATGTACCGGCGTCCCCGCGCCTCGGCCGTGCTGTGACACGGCACCGCTGCCACCCCGGGCTGTCCCTGCTGGCAGGTCAAAAATAGGGTCTGCACAGCGGTTTGTTATTTTGCTTCTCGTTGTGTGCACTTCCTCAGCCCTGCCCCAGCCCTCCTGACCCCAACCCAGCCCAACCCCACAGCGTATCCCGGAGGGTCCCCAGGGCCGCTCGGCTGCTGCGGGAAATGTCCCTGCCCGGCAGGACCCCCCTGTCCCCAGCTGCCCACCCGAGTGCCCTGGGGCCGGTGTCCCCCACCTCAGCAGGGGAGTCTCGTTTGAGATGCTGCCCTTTGCCCTCCCTTGCAGCCCCGTGGGGATGGGACCCTCCCTCCCCGAAGGGTGTGATCACCTGCGGGGGTGTGGGAGGGTTTGCCCAGCCCGGAGAGCATCCTGGAGAGCATCCTGGAGTGGCTGCAGGGAGCCCCAGCTCTTAACTCATTCACCTTCTCCTGCAGCACCTACCAAAACCAAAACCAGATTATCTGCTTCCTGTTCCCCTTCATGAAGAGAGGTTTCTTCACAATCATCTTCTCTTCCTAAAAAGATCAAAATCTAGCCTGAAATGATGCATTTTTCGCTAACGTGTCGCTGCAGCAGCTGAGGGGGGACGACTCCTGGGAGCAGAGCCAGGGAAGTGCAGCTTTGGAGAGCAAAAGCTGGGAGGGGAAACGGGGTGGGGGGTGCTGGAACTGTTACTGCAACTTCAGTGTGTCTCTTCTATTGTCAGTGGCTTTTAAGTTATTAACAGTGAAGACAGGAGAGTCTGTAGCAGAACTTTGGATCTCATGGGTGCTCATCAGCATCATATTTCTGGATTTTATTTATTATTATATGTTATTTAAATAACTTATTTTTACAGTGTGTAATCTAAAGATTCAAGACCAAAAAGTGCTGTCTGTTTAAAGCTTTTCTTTGCTTGGAACCCAAAATAAAAAGGAAAAGCCAGTATTCAGGCTTTCGGGTAATTTATAGTTCTCTGGAATACAGTCATATTTTAAATACTGCTACCTCATTTTAGGGAACAGCAACAAATGAACGTGTTGATTCATAATTTATTGTTCTTCCCTCTATTTAAACAGTTGTATTATGAGAGTTAATATATTCAAATTATCATGTATTAGAATGTCTTCATTTTATTATTTTTTTTGTATCAACTATGCACTGATGCTCTTAAAGTGTCTCAGGGCTTAAGCAATAAATGACTGAAAAAGAAGCTCTTGGTGCCCGTGGTTTGTGTTGATCCCCTCCTGCCCTCAGCAGTAAATGAGCAGTGGGAGGTGCTGCCTCCTTGCTCAGTGGCACAGGGGGTGGGGTGGGGATTGCTGCCTTTTTGGGGCAAAATACAGCAAATTTCCCCAGTCTGCCACTGAGAGAGAGGCTTCAAGAAAGCCAAAGGCACCAAAGAACCCACCTGACTTGTGGCTCAGGAAATCCAGAGGGAAGGGAAGGACTGGAGAAGGAAAAATGGGAGCCCCTGTTCGGGAAGAAGGCCGTGGTGGAGGGGTGTGCTGAGGGCAGGCTGTGGTCTGGGTGCACTGGGGGCTGCAAGAGGAGCCAGTGGGTGCAAAGTGGAGCTGCAGGCAGGGAAAGGTTTGTCTGATGGGCCAGGGAAGGGATGGGGTTGGCTCAGGGGCCAGAGCCTGCCTGGGGCCAGCAGCACAGGAACACATGTAGGAAATAAATCCACCAAAGAACTGCTGGAAATTGTTACAAATGCAGGAAATGGCTCTAGATGTGAGTGATGGGGGCTCAACAGCATCCTTGGGATTTGCTGTGGATAACTCCCAGCACCATGGGCACCAGGGCCTGGGCAGGATCCTCATGGGATGGGAGATGCTCCAAATCAGAGCCCAAGGGGCAGAAAGGCAAAGGAGGAAAGCTCAGGACACATTTGTGAATCAAGTCCCTTCCCTTGGTGGGAAAATGGGCAGGTTCCTCCCTGGATGGTGGCTGGGACACAGGCACAGCCAGGGCTCCAGGAACAGTGGGGACACCCCTGGGGCTGGAGCCACCCCTGCAGTGGGGCCATCACTGCCATCAGCTGCATCCCACCCTTGGGAAAGGACATTCCTTCACTGTTATGTTGGATTGACCCTGGATGGACAGCAGGGTCCCACCAAAGCCACCGTGTCACCCTCAGCTGGGCAGAAGGGAGAATACAGGGAAAGGCTTGGGGTTGGGATAAGGACAGGGAGAGGACACTCAGCACTTACTGTCATGGGCAAAACAGATTCAACCTGGGGGAAAATAATTAATTAAATTTACTGCCAATCAAATCAGAATAGGACAATGAGAAATAAAACCTGAATCTTTAAACACCTTCACCCCACTTCTTCCTTCTTCCCAGTCTTAACTTCACCCCTGATTTTCTCTCCCTCCTCCTCCAGTTGTGTTTTTGCAGGGTTTTTTCCCCTCCTAAAAACCATTATCCCGAGGCACTGCCAGCACTGCCCATGGGCTCAGCCTTGCCCAGCAGTGGGTCCCTCTTGGAGCCACTGCCATTGGCTCCACTGGGCACAGGGAAGCTTCCAGCAGCTTCTCACAGAACCCAGCCCTGCCACACAAACCCAGCACGGCTGGTGACTTCCCATCATGCAGTGATGCAGTTTTCCACCATGATTCAGATGAGTAGCTCAAAGGTTAAATTTTTCTGTGATTTGAGCATTTTCTGTTCACTTACTCCAGCTTTAGAGCATCCCACCATCATCACTGGGGAAACCACTGTGTCTGCAGAATGGGGCTACTGCCTCCATGCCCTTCTCCAGCACCCCTTCCAGGCAGGGATCCTCCCACCACCACTCACCCAGAGCAGAGGGATCTCCCTGGGCACCCCGGGGAGGACTCACCATCCGTGGAGGCCAGGGATGCAGCGCTGCAGCCAGAGCTCCCTCATCTGCTCTCCAGCACAAGTAGGGCAGGTAGGAAATGGCACAGCTCCACGGGCAAATCCCTCACAAAGGTCTTTCTGAGTCAGGGGCTTCATCTCCCTCCATCTGGGGCCTGTCGGAATTAGACAAACAAATCACTCTCAGGGTGGCTGCTCCTGGATTCATCACAAGATGCTTATCAAGCATCTGATGGCAAGTTGCTGTTTGAGTTAGAAAAATCCCTATTAGTTATTACAAAACTCCAAAGTTTCCCAGCTCAGCTTGTCTCTCAGTGTGATTTCCTGGGGTAGCACTGGGGGGCTGGTGGAGTCCATCAGCCAAAGGCTCAGGCTGTTCCCTGAGCAGGGTAGGATGGACAGGGCAGCCTCCAGCTCCCTGAGATGCTGGAGCTGAGCCAGAAACCACTTCCCCAGCACTGACACCACAGCACCTCCCTTATCAGCTCCCTGTCCCTTGTCCACATCCTCGCAGGGGGCCACACTGTTTTGGGGTCCTGTCTGCTCAGGAGGGCCCCCAGCTCTCCACAACCCCCCGGGGTGATGCCCTGCTCCTGCCCAGGTGGGTTTTGTCTCCACATGGCTCTGCCACACTTCCTGTTCCTCCCCGGGTTAAGAAACCCAGGGACAGAAATCATTATGCAGATGAAGGATTCTTTGCCTGATCTAGAGATATTCAAATGAAACGTGGTGGAAGGACTAACAGGACACTTAGAGGAAAAGCAAAAGCAAAGCTCCATTACTAGAGTGTAGTGGGCTCCCCAGTTCAGCCACTTCCAGCTTGTGGTGTAGAGAAAGCCTTGGGATATGGAGAAATGGAGAATCCCCAGAGCAGGTACCTTTACACACTCCTGTGTGTGACCTGACTCCTACCACCGTTATCTCGCTGTGGAAATTTCCTACATTGAAACATCATGCAAGATCAGAAGAAAATTTTGACTTGCACAAAAAAAGACCTGTTGTCCTAATTGGGAGCAACTTTGGAAAGTGCAGATAAGGGAAAAATAAGTTTTTCCTTCTGATTCAGCAATCTTTACAGCCATAAATTGAGGTGCTCCCTCCAGAAATGCACACACAGGTACAGAGGACCAAAATATCCAGAGCCTGTGAGCTGAGCCAATGCAGGCCATGAGCATCCTGGCCCTGGTGCTGCTGCCCTTCCTGGCGCTGTTGGCCTGCCAGGGTGCCGTGGTCACTCCCTGGACACACAAACTGCAGACCAACATGCTGAGGGAGAGCATCAGGCGGCTGCAGCAGCTCCAGCACTCACAGGTAGGGCTGGCTGGGGCTTTACCTGAGGGGAGGGACAGGATGTTTCGGCAGCCTCGGGGAGAGCCGAGTCAGAGGGAGGTGCAAGGCACAGGGCTCCGTGCTGGGAACGTGGCCACGTGTCAGGATGGGCCCGGGCAGCGCTGCCTGCAGCCTGACTGCTCCTCTCCTCTGTGTCTTGGTAAAGGTTTCCTGTAACGAGATGAACGTGACCGATATTTTTGCAGACAAGAAGGTAAGAAAGAAAAACTAACTTGTCCTTGTTCAAAAATAGTCATACAGCCCTGATGGGTACTGGGAGAGGATGCTGGGGGCAGAGGGGAGCACAGGGCAGCCAGAGGCAGGTGGGAAGCCCAGGATCCCCCCTGTTCTGGTGTGGTGCTGTGGAGGAGCAAGGAGCCCACTGTGAGCTGCCAGGATCAGTGCTGGGCTGTCCAGTTGGACCTCACCCTCACCTTCCCAACCCACCTCGACCTCCAGCCAAAGCAGCAGCAGCAGCTTCTGCCTACCCTGGGGACGGGGAGATGGGCCTGTGCTCGAGCAGGCTGGGGGGTTTCAGCTTTTCTAGAAGGAAGAGAGGGCCGTGTCCCTGTGCCTGGCAGTGCTGTCCCTGCTCAGCCCCCCAGCCCTGGCAGTGCTGTCCCTGCTCAGCCCCCCATGCCCACCCCGGTCCCTGAGCGCTGGTTACACCCGCTGTCCCTCCTGAGCCCCTCATCTGGGGATGGCTCTCCAGTCAGCACAAGTTTTAATAGCAGAGCCCCTTTCTGCTCTGAAAACTGCTGCCTAAGCCCAGCTCCCGGTCCCAGAGTTCCTGTTTCCACAGAAAGCCCACGGGCTCACCTGGTGCAGCAGCCTTCCCTGGGGGGCTGGGGCTGAGCAGCCCTGGGGGGGTCCCCACACCCCTCCTGCCGCAGGACTGGCCCTGGGAGCGAGGAGAGGTGCCCGAAATGCTGCACAGCCCCATGTTCCCAGAGCTGCCGCTGCTCTGAAGCTGCTGTTGGGGTGAGGGCTGAGGGGATGGAGCAGGCAGAGCTCTCGGGGACCTGCCCATGAGGGGGCACTGGGAACACCCCAGGGAAGAAAGTCAAGTATTTTTCTTATTGCCACCAGCACTTCATTTCTTAGCTCCTCATCTTCCACGTGTCTCTGCTACAGGACTTCTCAAAGCCCCTAATGAAGGCAACCTCTTCCCAGGCACTTCAGTTATCCCTGTAGCACCTCTGCCTGCCCAAAACAGTTTCACTCCCAGGGAACTCCCAGGGAGCAGCTCCCCGAGCTCAGGATCCCACATCCATGCCTGCAGCAGGAGCAGGATGCTCCAGCACAGGGGTGGTCACTGCTGTGCCACCCTCTGCCATGGCCTCTGCCAGGGGCTGATGGCACTCCCAGCAGGACAGGGATGGGAAACTTCAGGGAGACTCTGGCATCTCAAACTGCACTCTGCACCCGTACAACAGAAATGTATTATTTGCAGGCTGGGGGTTTATTGGGTTTTTTCCACTAATGAATCTGTGACTGAAGAGTTTCGTTCCCCCCAGCAAGGTGACACCATGGAGCTCCTGTGCAAAGCTGCCACCGTGGCTCGGGAAGGCTGCAGCTGCCACAGGCACCTCGAGGGCATTTACTTCAACCTGCTGGGCCTGCTCCGGGGGCACAGGCTGGAGCACCAGGTGAGGCACAGCTCCCCTGCACTGCCCCCACCCTCCAGCTCCTCCCTCCATCACTGCTTTCGTTTTGCTCTCCCACCACCCTTAAGGGCCCAGCCCAGGCTGGAGAACCCGATCCCTCCCCAGCAATCCCTTCCTAACAGCCCCTTCCTCCCATCCCAGGCACCGTGTCCTGTGGCAGCAGGCAGCACCACCTCACTGAGGAGCTTCCTCCAGGAATTACACCAAGTCCTTCAAGAACAATACAAGAGTCAGAAGTGAAAAAAAACACAATTTGTTTGTTTTTAAACTATGAGTCTATTTTTCAAAGATTATTTATAATAATTCTTTAAATAAATGTATTTTTGGACTAAGTTTCTTGGCATTGCATAGGATGGTACACAAGGCAACAGTTAAAAGCTCCAAGTTCACAGGCACTGGGGTGGTGCTGTAAGGGGTTGCCAAAGAACTTGTCTTGCTATGGGATTAAGGCTCATGCTAACATGAGGAACACAGGTCTAGGCAGAGGGAGAGCAAGAGAAGGCAGAGGGGAGAAGCCAGGCCACAAATGGGACCTGCTCTGGAAGCTGTGAACCCAGAAAGATGCCAGGTCTGGAGCCAAGCAAGCCCTTAGGTCTCCCTTCCCTTCACTTGTAGCCTGTATTATAACCCTACATTTACATATATGGGATTTACAGAGGGCACAGCCCATTGTGACCCAGGAGTACAGAGGCTCCAGCAGCAACAGTTTGGGGAACCAAACTGGGGAACGAAACCTCTGCCCTGGGCAGGATTCCAGTCTGGGGCAGACCTGGGCACTGGTTCAAGTTCCTCCAGCACCAGAGACTGGAGCTCCTGGCACAACTGAGTTAGAAAGATGTTGTGTGTATAATGTCATCAGAAAAACCATGCTTAGAGGTGGAACTAGGAACCAAGAATTTTATTTCATGGTATGAACATGCTCCAGGGACACAATACTGATATTTACAGTATAATGAATTAACTTTAAACATAAAACAAAGAATAATCAAAAATAAACCGTTAGAAAACCAATAAATAGGAAGACAAGTTATACAGACTAGCAGGTTTTCCCTCTATACAGGCCTGGCTAAGCAGAACTGTGGAGAAAGGTGAAAGCTGGACATGTGCAGACAGTGTAGTCAGTGAAAGGCACTAAGGACCCTTTCCCCTCCTCTTAAAGGATCAGGAACAAGTTAAATATGAAACAGTTCATTTACACAACATTAAACAACATAAAGCAGAAACCTCAATGTTAAAGTCAATGTTCTGGAATGAGGGAAATCTTCTGGTAGCAAGATGAGCACACAGTAATTTATGTAAGTTTTGATAAATACTATAGAGCATGTACTGACCTGGGATGGCAATGGCTGTATTAAGCTCTTAAAAAAACCCATACAAACCAAATCCCTTCCTCATTAAAACACATTATGGGCCCATCAGACATTCACAGATGGCCCAGGGCTACAGAGAAGGCCCAAGTGGTAAACCTGCAAGCCAGACTCCTTGGTTTTACAGGAAACTTCTTCCCAGAACTTCAACACACCAATTAAAAGGGAAGCCAAGCTGACAGAGCACACGACCATGACAGCATTCCACTTCAAATAAAGTCCTCTTAAAGAGCAGATAATTTGTTCTCCAAGCCTCTGTAACAGGAGATAACCACCAGTTTCTCCAATCTGCCCATTAAAGGTGTGCAAGCAATTATTTATTGGTTTTCTGCCTCAAGGTTCACTTAAATATGCAGAGTACTGTTGTTTTTAGCAGCAGGACTGTAACATTAACTGTAAAGCCTATGCCCTTATAGTTAAGTTTTAAATATTTTAAATGCAATGCCATGGTCCACAGTGGTATCTTGAAGCCACTGATATCTGTCAGGTAAAAGAACTTTCAACTGTCTTTTTGAAAGCACAGTTCAGGAGAAACTCCCTCAAAAAACAGATCATTCAATAAATGTTAGCACAAGATGTAACAAAAAGGAAATGCACGTTGTCCCTGGTCCTGAGAACTAGTACAGGTCACAGCTGTGCATTTATCTGCTTGGACTCAGAACTGACAGGAGACTTCAAAGAGCACTGAAGCAATTTCAGTCTGTTTTGTCTGATGAGGATGAAACACAAGGTAACCCAGCTCTAGTCAAGCATGTCCAAAATACAGCCAGCTCTTTACAAGCAAGAGCAACTGCAGCTCAGAGTAAGGAGGACTGAGCATTTACCTCCAAGTGCTGGGCTAGAGAAAACAAATGCCAGTGTTTGTATGTTTATGAACTTAGCTGACACCTCCTCCCCCAAAAGAGAGCAGTATATTCTTCTAGGTCATGATCCCGAAAAAAACACATTAAAAAAACAGGGAAAACCTTACAACTCGTTTAGAATAGCACTGAATATATCATTCAGAGTAAAATATGCCCTTCCAAGACCAGTTTTAACTATTACAGATCCTGTCACAGACCTGTTACAGAGCCCCACAGCATCATGACAAGTAAGAAAAGGTTTTTAACACCTCTCAGTACTTCACAAGAACACTGGTAATTTCAGAGCAGGGGCTCAGGACACCCGAGGAGCTGCCTTGTGCTCTGCCACACTGAAGGATTCCACTCCTCCTGTCAGCAATCACAGTTTTCATCCTCCAGGTAACCCTAAGATTGCAGGGAGGTCACAGCTCGTCCCCCCTCATGGCACAGGAGCTGCCGAGATGCCCACGAGCTGATGTGATGAGTTACAAAGCACACACAGTCCAAAGGAGATGCATTTTCTCTGTGACACAAAAGCAATGTATCAAAGTGATATGTGTCTATTAGCAGCATAAATATCAAAGAAACAGAGCAGCCATCACAAACAAATGGTTATTAGCAGAGACCAGAACTTTTCTCCTCTCATCAGAGCATAGCCAGAGACCCAGCACAGCCTACACAGGAGCACAGAAGCAGCAGCTGTTTCAGGGGGTTACTGCTCTGGGAAAACTGGGCAGTTTGTTCTGTTTGACTCCAGAGGAGTCCAATTCACCCTCAGTGTAGAGCACTGGCCTAGAGCCCTGTAGGGATGAAAGATTGGAGCCACAGTGCTCACAGCCCCACAGCTGCCACCCAGTCCTGGGGTTACAGCACCCCCTGAAACCCCCTCTGCTGCTCAGATTACAAAACTGCTCACACACATTTTAAAATTCCAGCCCCCAAGCACAAGAAGCAGCCAAAGCAATGCTGCAACACAGCCTTAAAAGAGGGAAAAAAGCTCTTTTTGCCTTCATATCCAAGTTCTCATTCTCCACAGTGCCAGCAGATCCCACACAAACTGATAAAAATACAAGCATTACTAGACACACTTGATTTCTGCTGCACTTCAGCAGAGCATGGTCCCTTCTCAGATGTCTCAGACTTTTGTAGTTCATGCTTTTCCTATCCAGTTACTTCCTCTGTACAGCAAGACAGCAAAAGAGGACTGTGTATTTGATACACAACACTATCAGGTTAACAGCCACAGTGAGGAATTATTAAATAAAAAGATTTGATCCTCTTAAAGGTTTGCAGCAACCACATTCAAACACAGATCAGTGCAACAGGGGACAACAGTGAAAGCTGCCAGTTATGTGCAAAGCATAAGTCAGATCTACCAGCCTTAGTTTTAGGGTTTCATTAACTGTTTAGAACTAACACGTCTAGCACTTAAACACACATCTAGAACCCTTATTTCTATACATTTCAACAAAGATTGCCAACAAGTTTCCCTGCACAACACGTTTAATACATGGAATTTCACAACCATCATATATACCAGTTTAATATTATGTTAATATAACATACAATATACAGGCAACTAAGGAAAAATACAGTATTTTAAATAAAAAAGTATAGCCATGTTAAACTGTGCCATCTCTTGAATTCCATGTTCTGGCCAAACCATATACACTCACTGACTTTTACAGGGATTCTGACCAGGTCACACTACTGCAGCAGGGAGTCAATGACAGCTCCTGGCTTGGCCGAACGTTTTCTGTTTGGAGAGCAGAAAGGAAAGGGAAAAACAACACCACACACACATCATTATGCTGGCTAGGACAGACAGGGACCAGCCACATTTCAAGCCAAAAACTACAGTGTTACTCTTCCACGAGCAAAAGCAACCAAACACAAGTGACCGAGGAAGGCCAGGCTGAGATCTCCCCTGCAGCTGAGATCTCTCCTCTCCAGCAACATCAGTCTGCACTGCCAGCCTGTGTCACACTGAAACAGGCACAGAAAGCAAGCAGCTGCAAGAGGGGAATGCAGCAACAGAGCATGGGAAAAAACCCCAGACAAGTCTTCCTGGACAAGATTTACTGCAGTAAAGAGACCTCAGCTTGGTTCTGTCACACCAGTAAACTACACCATGCAAAATTTTAGTACTTTGCCTTCTCATTAAGCAAATGTTTGAAGACTTGTGGTAAGTTTGCATAAACAAATGTAAGCCTTCCCCTGGGTAAATCCCTCATTGCATTCAGATACCCCAGAGTTCTTCACCTTCTACCCGTCTTGGGCCTGGATCTTCCTTTCGAAGTCCTCGGCCTCTCCAGCTTCATCAGGGACTGCCTCAAGCTTTCTTCAGTGTAAGCTAAGTAAACATGGGAAAGGTCCACTTCAAAGGGCTAGAAAAACACCAAAGAAACCCACAAGACAAGAACATCAGAATCATTTTGTACACTGATGAGTGGTGCTTCTCTAGCACTAGAAAGACTCATCTCTTCAAAAGAAAAGCCAGCTGAACAGTTTGGCTGTAAACAGTGAGTGGCAGGCACAGGCAGCAGGACTTGGACCTGTGCAGTTCAATACATCAATGCAAGAGCAACTCACATCTTTCTCTTTTTTATCCAGGACAGGTGTCTGTTTCCTCATATTGTTTCCTGTATATGCAACACATTTCTGTAAGAGGAAAGAAAGGTCTGTTAGTAAAGTCTGCTGTGCACAGTAAAACTGACTACAGCTTTATCAGCTTCTCACTGGGCTGAGTTCAGCTCCTCAGAAGCTCATGGTAACATCAGCTGGCACACAGCCACTCTTACCAGCTGCCACTCTCCTATGTCTTCGTTCCAGTGAACGTAGTTTTCAATCATTTCCTAGAAAGAAATCCAGACAGTAGTTGTTAGACTTGTACAATCTACCCTCTAGGTGCACTTTCCAGAACATGCATCTCTAAGGCCTGCACAAGCTGCTTAAGAACAGTCTTAACCACTCCACGTTGTTTTTATCAGGACAGCTACATCATGTGCAAAAAACCCTATTTATTTATACT